ATGTAAAAATAAGAGAGAAGTAGACACGTGCAATCTGAATGGGAAATGTAATTATGTACATAAGGAAGGTGGATCGTCCTATTTCTTGTGCCTTAGTTGAGCGGGAAATTTGAATGAGAACCACGTATAATATAAATATTCCAAAAGTTTAAATAAACTTATACAATTAATTTAATAAACGCAGCAGTAATGCAATTAGCTTAATATAAATGTACATTGAAAGTAAATATTTGAAACAATAAAAAAGTACAATTAATTGAATAAACGTTAAGATGATATTAAAATTGGTCCTCATTATGTAATTAATAGAAATGAAATTGACGTCAGATTAATTTATTATAGCAATAACTAAAATGTCAGAAAATTGTGTAAATGTGATATATTAATTGCACAGATATTCACTTCATTCTGCAAAAAAATACACAGTCCTCTCTTATTCGAGTATCCATAATACATACGAATTTCGTTTTTCAAAATTTAAGTACAATTTCTACAAGATTCAATTCTTTCGAATCACAAAACACTTGCAAATAAATGCAGCAGAGTTTTGTTAAATTGCCATATTCACAACAACTTTCATACACATTAACGACCTCCACCACAATAAGGCATGAAAATCTATGAAAACTATAATATTAAAGAAAAGCTATTACTAAATCTAACATAATGCCAATGTCAAGTATTTCCTGTTGTTACTTTTTCATTTCATTATTCTTCATGGGCAATATAACATGAGTTTACTGTATTCAAGTGTATCTGTTTCCAAAAAGCCAGATACTCATTCTAGAGATAAAAACTAGCTAGCATAATACGAGTCTCTCGCAAGTATATAAAATAAAACATTCACTATAACAACCACTCAAATCTGACAAAATGAAATTTTTATTTCGAACTCGAATCGGAACTGACCTTCATCCCATCTCTACTAACCACCGATCTAATATACGCGCCCGTGTGTGTCACATGTGATCACAGCGTATAGATACGTAAGTGTCAATGTGACTGAATGAGTGTGTGTGTGTGTGTGTGAAATCGTACACAATATCAATTAACGTGCACAAGAACAATACTGCCACGAGATTGCGTGCAGGGCGGGTTCGTGCAGAGCCGCACGGAGCATTAACAGTGTGACAGACCTGGCTTTAACAGACACAACTTTAGCCCCAACGGCCATGTTCTCTTTACAGTAGATCGGCCCATATATTATGTGGTCCCATACGGGCGGATTATTAGCACGGTCCACAACGTCAATCTGTACCTCCACCGTTCGCGACAAGGGCGGGTGGCCCTTGTCTTGGGCCATCGCCTCCAGCTTGTACATCTCACGCTACACCAGACCGCGTGTATAACAAACGGGAACAAAAAACAATGTCGTTAGTGTCAGTCGTAATGACTCGTGGCAGTTGAACAATTGATCTCGGGATGAGCGTAGCTCTCTCTCGAGTGTCTCGGCCCCCTCTCTCTCTCTCTTTCGGTCCATCGCGGTCTGTGTCTGTCTGTCTTAATCTCGTTTCGATTCTGCCAATTTGAATTCGCACCCTGGTGTAGCCAGTGTTCATCGTGTCTGGGTGACAGGTTAGCACATTCGTCGGCTTCACGGACGATTCTCTCTCTGGACAAAGTCTGCTTTAGCCGCTGCTTCGCTCGATTTTTACGCCCTACTAGCGCGATTTACGCTCTAAGCAAAGCGGGACTAGCGCCAACTGGAAGCTGAGCGTGCTGATTATAACGGGGACACCAAATGCCCCTAGATAACGAGGATCGGCGATCGCTGATGCCCGCTTCTGCACCTGTCTGTACTCTGCTCGTGAAAGAAAAAAAGGACAATTTTCTTTTAACCCCGTTTATGGGGACCTGGATCTCTCGCTATATCCTCGCCTACCCTATACGGATCATCGCGCTAAGGACAATCCGGCATCTGGTTTTCCGAACTCGTACACATCTAGGGATGGTTTCCGCTAAAGTCGCCGGAGCCGGTTTCCTAGCCTCTTTGGGAATCTTCTTGCACCGAATCTTTCGTTAAAAATATTTGCTAACTTTTTTAATACGCGTTGATTAGAAGGATTGATATAATTCATAATTTATTATTATTTGTTGCTTAAACTATTACGAAGGATCTTTCTGATTTATAGTTCTGATTACATTATATCTGTTTCGTAGAATTAATATATTTTGAAGACTTTATTGGTGTTAAAATAGTTTCGAAATCAATTCTCGTATCGATTTTGTAGTTATGATTATAAATTATTGCGTATAAATATTGAAGTTATTAATTTAAATTTGTTATTCAGATACTCAATGATAATGATGTATTGAAACATGATCATACGATTTTTGCTCATTTCTGACAAATTTCGGTAATAAATGACAGATAATTAAATATGGAGTCGCCTTTGATAGACATATGTCCATTTGAAAATGGATACTACAAGTAAATGTTATGACTCTACATTTAATATATTATAAATGTATACTTGAAATATATTTTGATACCTATCTTGAATATGTTAATCATATTATGTTACATGAAACTTCGTGATTCATCATTTTTGTGACATGATATTTTAAATTGTAAGTCGAATGTTTCACAACATTTTTACTTTGTTTGATGTGTTGTTCGTGATTCATATGACGTGATACTAATCTGTTGTTATCATAAAAGTCACGCGAGAAAGTATGAAAAACTGTTTACATGATTCTTTATACTCAAATGGACATGCATATCCTTAGCATTGTTGTAGAATCTATTGTATATTATATGATAATCAAATAATTATAACGTTATATATTAAAATATAATCTTAGTCGATTTCATCTATTTGAACAAATTATGGATATTTAAATAACTGTTTTAATCGTAGATATTTTATGATCACTTCAGTAATAACTCGGATGTCTTATAAATCACCAGCTCCAATCTTCCAAAATCATTAATTATTATGAAGAACAAATTGTGAAATGATTATCAATTGTTCACGACAAATGGTTCATTACAATGTTCAAAATACATACTTAAAAAAAAAAAATTGTACAAAGTCATATTTCTTCAACATACTTTAAATATTTTATAAGTACATAAATTGTTTTAATTTATTATTTAATCATAAAACTTAATTGACTTTTTAATTACTTTTCAATGTAAATGCAAGACAATACTAAGGTTGAAAAGCACTTAATAAGATAAGTAAGAACAAATAAATATTTATGAGAACAAAATACTCATTACAATGTTAAGTACACGTAACTTTCATTATTCCTTAATAACGTACAATGCTAATTAATTCGATAAAACAAAGAATTCGATAATTCCATATTAGACACGTAAGAAAAATTTATGTTGTTAATTAATTTCATTGTTGAAAAAATTTTTACGTTATATAGTATAATATAGAGTAATATATAAAATAATGATGTATACATGTATCAGTTTCTGTCTTACATTGACTTTTTTTCAATTATGCTTGTATCTAATAATGTACAATCGTAATATTTAATGATTTCAATTGTTATCACATTTATACCAGAATTGATTCTAAAACTGTTTTGAAACAATATAGTATCCAAAATATAATAATCGCTGCAACAGATATAAATAGAAGTTTATTCCTTGTACACTTGAGTCTTGTTATATGGCCCTGCAGCGACAATAAGAGAGAGAACCCTTTATATCCAAAATTCCACGATTATATCCGGTTCTTTAACATTATTTATGACTGTATAGCGAAATTCTACTATGTCAAGTATTCAAAATAAAAATTCTTCGTAACCGTTTCAATCAAAACTTTAACTCTTTTCCAGGTATTCGAATTTAATTGTATAAATAGTTTAAGTATAGTTATAGTGCTAAAAACAAAAGAATCTTACTTATTTGACATGGTTTAAAGTGTTGTATAAATTTTTAAAGAATTTGTGGAATTCGATATGGTCTCCTTAACCCAAAAAAGAGTTAATGCAAGGGTGCGTTTAGACTAAACGACAGAGATTTAAATATCTCTTTAAATATTTAAATATTTGATTAATAAGTCTGGTGATTTAGAAATTTAGAAATTCAGAAATTCAGAAATTCAGAAATTCAGAAATTCAGAAATTCAGAAATTCAGAAATTCAGAAATTCAGAAATATAAAAATTTAGAAATTCAAAAAGTTTGAAATTAGGAATTTGATAACTTGAAAATTTGGAGCTCCAGAAAATTGAAGATTCAAAAATGTAAAACTATTGAAATTCAGGAAACCTGGTACTTCAAAAAATGAGAAATGTAAAAACACCAAATCTTCAAATTTTCCAATTTAGAAATTGATTGCTCATCGGTGTGCACATTCGTGTACTAACTCCAATCGAACACAATTATCACTACTCTAAACGCACCCTGATTAAATTTAGAATTATTTTAACCCCCCAATATCGACTAGAAAGTATCAAAGATATTAGATTCGGTGTCGTTCGATTCCCGAACAATTTCCAAAAAATCGGCTCCGTCGAATGGTAACAATTAATATAAGTAGGGGATAGAAAGTAGTGGTAATAGTATAGTAATGGTAGTAGTAGTTGTAGTAACAGTAGTAGTAAGTAGGTAAGTAGTAGTAAGTTAGGAGTGTCCGACCAATCAGCGATCTACCGCGCCGCGCTTAACCATGCATGCTTTTCCTCTCCCGCCGAAATCGCATCATGTACATATAGAAAGCAATTAAAACAATTTCCAACTGAACAACGAACGAAGACGCAGTTATACGTAATCAAAAGTGTTTACGGTGAAGCAAAACCGACTGAAAGGTGTAAAACTTGAAGCTAATCGATCGAACGAACATATAGTCGGTGACAGATGGTGAAAAGGTTCGAACAGAATGAAACGCAGAGTCAATAAAACCAATACCGACGAAAACAAAAAGAGGAACAAAACGTAACGAGAGAATGAGTGAAAAAAAATAACAAGGGAGCAGCATTGCATGGCACGGCACGGCATGTCACGTGTCTTGTCTCGGTCATGTCGTGGCATACAAACCTGGCTTTCACCGACGTCACTACAGTACCCACTGTGACATTTTCTTTGATGTGAGTGGGGCCGTATACATTCTTATCCCACACAGGTGGTTTATTGTTTCTGTCTACGACGTCTAACTCAACGTCCACGTCTGCGTGCAACACTTGCGTCCCTCTGTCGGAGGCCCGTACTCGCAGGCGATAGATGTCACGCTAATGGCAAAACATTGGGCCGTCAACTCACAGGACACTTTTTCGGGACTGTTGTTGGCGGATTTTTTTTTTATTCATTCTTGTTTTATTTTTATATTTTTCTCTGACGATTGCTTGTTTTGCTTTTTTTTTACTTTGAACCATTTTTTCGGTACATTTTTACTTTTGCTTGCTTTTTTTTGTTTTTTAAATTGTTTTTGATCGACTGTTTACGAGAGACAAGTCACTCGGCGGCGAAATATTTAAACGCGTGACCTAGAACGATCTGAAGGGTATATCTCTTAAACTCGAAAACGAAACGAAAGAAATAGAAGATAGTGAAGGACCGTACGGTCTCGTGAGTATCCGTTTATATCGTTCCAGACCTTTTCGATTACGATTAATCTCCCGCGGGTTGACCAATCTCTGATTAACCTGAAAATTTCTATCATTATCGAACATCAGTATTCACGATTCATTGACACTTCGGTTATTTAGAATCACAATTAATCCTTAAAGAGGGATACTTACCACAGAACGGAGACAGAGCTATACTCTTTAAAATATTGTGGTTAACGGACGTTGTATTTTACAGATGTTCTCAAATTCGCATTCGTTCGAATTTTGATTCACGTTTTAGTTCAAATTAATTCACAATTTTCAAACGATATTTAAAATCAACACGGTGAAATATGCCGATAACGTTCACTTTTATTTATGTTTGTCTCAATGTCAGATTTCTTGTAAAATTATTTTACAAATTCTTATCAACGACGGAGCATAATTCAATTATTATAGTTTCAATTTCGGAATAACAGTCATCGATTTATTAGCCCTTGAGACAATCAACAAATAAAGTTTCGGTTTAATTTCAGACAAATTTTTTTCAATTTTAGCCCATTCTTCCAGTAGCTGAAAATCCTTTGTTCAACCCTTATCCGCAATTTTAATAAAGAAACATAATTTATTTTCATAGTACATTGTCAAATATAATATAAATATTTTGAGTCATTTTGGATTATATTCAAGATTGAATGAGTTATATAAATTAGGTAAGTGAATTTATCGGACTTGGATAAGGGTTAAAAATTCGAGTGGCAAATTTCGAAACGCGTATGCCCGAGGATTGAAACGAAAAAAGTAGACGAAATCGTTATCGGCAATATGTTTAACGTTAAGGAGGTCCTTCACTGACGGATACACTCGAGACCAGGACAATAGAACAAACGAAACCGCGAGTATCGTTTGAAACGAACAAAAAAATGAGAACAGAAGTGGTACTAAAGCGATTGGTACTAAACCTCGACTGCAAATTGAAATCAAAGACAAAGTAAAAAAAAAATACAGAAAGAATCGATCAAAGACGGAGATAGAGAAAGATAGAGAAAGAGAGACAGAGAGATAGAGAGAGTGACAGAAAGACAGAGAAAGAGAGAGCGATACTTAAACTAAAAACAAAAACTGTAATAAAGTGACGTCTCCGAGTGACAATAATTACAGAACAACAACAATAACAGAGGCAAACTAAATAATCGAAAAAACGATCGAATAGAATCAATAATCGAAAACGGAAAGGCACTCTAACAAATATCGTACTCGTTTCTTTTCTTACTTTCTTTTTCTACATCTTTTTTTTCATCGATTTTCTTTACGTTGGTATAACAATGCTGTATATCACGTTATACTTTCGGTGTCTCGATGCAAAGTGTGAAACACAAGAATGTGGTTCCTACTTACTGGAAAACAGCCCTTTTTTTTCATCATCATCATCATCATCATCATCATCATCATCATCATCATCATCATCATCATCATCATCAAATCCGAAGAAAGTAAATGGTGCAATGAACACAAACATAAACAATAAGAAATTCAAATTAGTTCCTTTACGAAATCAACCAATGCAGGCATTTGCATGCAAGCAAGAATGCGTTTAAAGAGGCATCAGGAGGAATAGGGCGATGTGAGAAAGAAAAGAAGAGACAGACAGAGAGATAGATTCGAAAGACAGAGAGAGAGAGATAGTTAGATAGAAAGAAAGAAAGAAAGAAAGAAATAGAGAGAGAGAGACAGAGAGAGAGAGAGAGAGAGAGAGAGAGAGAGAGAGAGAGAGAGAGAGAGAGAGAGAGAGAGAGAGAGAGAGAGAGAGAGAGAGAGAGAGAGAGAGAGAGAGAGAGAGAGAGAGAGAGAGAGAGAGAGAGAGAGAGAGAGAGAGAGAGAGAGAGAGAGAGAGAGAGAGAGAGAGAGAGAGAGAGAGAGAGAGAGAGAGAGAGAGAGAGAGAGAGAGAGAGAGAGAGAGAGAGAGAGAGAGAGAGAGAGAGAGAGAGAGAGAGAGAGAGAGAGAGAGAGAGAGAGAGAGAGAGAGAGAGAGAGAGAGAGAGAGAGAGAGAGAGAGAGAGAGAGAGAGAGAGAGAGAGAGAGAGAGAGAGAGAGAGAGAGAGAGAGAGAGAGAGAGAGAGAGAGAGAGAGAGAGAGAGAGAGAGAGAGAGAGAGAGAGAGAGAGAGAGAGAGAGAGAGAGAGAGAGAGAGAGAGAGAGAGAGAGAGAGAGAGAGAGAGAGAGAGAGAGAGAGAGAGAGAGAGAGAGAGAGAGAGAGAGAGAGAGAGAGAGAGAGAGAGAGAGAGAGAGAGAGAGAGATGGGTGGATCCAAAATGGAGTATAACCGGAGTTACAGAGAGAAGGAAAAAAAAATTTATGACGACCCCTCGTCTGATTCATTCGTTTTAACGACACTCAAAAACCGATGGACGTTTTTTTTATCTACCGTGGATTTTTTTAACGTATTTTTCATTACGTTGCTTCGTCGCTCGTATTTACAGATCTGCATTATTCCGTAATTTTTCTGTTTCGTTACGACAGTGGTATGCTGCCCCAATCACAGAAGAAAAAATGTCACACCACGGACAGATTTCTTACGGTTTTATTGTTATTGCGCTCTCGACAAAAAATGTCTTTCGTGTCTTTTTTTATTCGGCTGATTGTCAGTCATGTCGCAGTTTGCGGGAGAATAGGGGATCGAAAGTTGGGAACGTCAGACAGATGAAGAGAAAAAAAAAGATCAAAAAGAACGATAGAAAAATATCAAAATGCAAAAGAATCCAATACAAAAGAAAAAAGATAATGAAACTGTTTCAGTACCGAGAAAAAACAGACAAAGTCGAGAGAAAAAATCAGTCAATCTTCGTAATAAGAAAATGCAAATTGTAAAAATTGTTTCGTTCAAACGATCAGCTGTTATTGAGCAAAAATCAAAAAAGAAAATGAAAAAATGTCACTGAAGTTGTACATAACAAAATGCAAAGTGACCAAAATTCAAGGAGAAAAATATATAAAAAAGAGAGATAAGGAAAAAAAGGCGAATGAAAACAAAATGTAAAAAGACAGAGAAAGAGAGAGAGAGGGGAGAACAGAGAGAGAGAGAGATACAGAGAGAATTTAGAGAGGAAGGATATAGGAGCGAGAGCGAGATCCGTTCCTGTAAAGGAATCAAAAACACATTCATATAAAATATTGCAAGCATTTTCAAAAATTGTTTATGTCTGATGCACCACAAAATGCGTAGAGGTTGAAGTACACCGTACGTGGGGCTCAAAAAATGTCGTTCCCACCTGCTCCTGGAAGTTCAAAAAACATCACTTCCCTTTTGAAAAACATTCACATTAGTATTTAGTTAAGGAGAATTAATTAAAAGGTAATTAGTTGGGTCTCGTATCGTTTCCCTTCCTTTTGCTCTGTTATTCATTCGTTTCCTTCCCGTTGTTTCTCCGCGACGCTCTGTGACGCGTGTACAAAAATATAAGAAAAAGAAGAAACGAAGATCGTGAAAAAACGAAACAAATTTCTAGGAAAAACACGCAGGCATTTCTCCGTGGCTAGGATGGAAAATTAAAAATAAAAAGAAGTGCACACGTTTATCAATCAACGGGTCGCTTTTCACGCGCGCGACGTAAATCAATCAAACTCGCCGAATATACAAAAAAGTAGGTAAAAATTTTGTTCCGGTCGAAAATCAATCTTCGTAGAACGCGTTGGGAACAACCGAAATATGAAGGAACAACAGAACAAAAAAGGAGAAGTAATTTCTTTTTTTGTTCACTGACAAAAATAATAAACGGGAAATGCAGAACGAAAAGAAACTAAAAATAAAGAGAAGACGCACGTCGACGACCGATACGGCGATAAATAAAAATTGGACAAGAGGTGTTCGAAAGCTCGATTGGAACTTGTTAAAAAAGGTACTCGCGCCGCGAGCATGTTCTCGATAGAAAAGAATGAAAGAGACAGAGAGAGAGTGTTCTGTTGCAAAAATAGCCCGAACGGTCGATCGATTCAGGTACATGAAGCGTTTGAAGGAAATCAGGCATAGCTAAGTATTTACCATAGTGAACACATTGTGCATATCAATGGGAATTAAAAAGTTCTATACATGTGCCGTAAAAAGGAAACTCATTTCGTTGCATATTAGTGATAATTAGAGAAATAATTGCCGACCAAACGCATATTGTTATACAAAGTTATCCGATCAGCAACAAAACGGATTCGTGTTAAAGAACGTAAGTTAACGTAAACGTACAATATATATAATAATATATATATATGTATATCGGCAGAAGGTGTACACTCAAATTTGTATTTATATAAATATAGATATAAATATATGTAATCTCTCGGTACACATACACGAGCGTATGAACACCACTTCGAGCGAATATACATTCGCGTGTGTGTACACGTATATTCGGACTTAATGATACATGGAGAACGTCACGTGGATTCTCGGCTTTGAATCAGTTCTTCGTGGGTAATATTCCTTAAATAATCGCATTGTTGTATAAAAATATACGCGGTTACACACAGGTTAGAATGTACTTTCAAACACCATAGGCGAGCCAACGTTGATCTAGAACGAAGATCGTAGAACGAGCGAATCGAAGAACCAGATGTTTCTTGCTCGAGAACTACACGTTGATCCTCCATAGAACCATTGTTGCTGTTACTGCTAAAGAGAGTATATGTAAATTATCATGAATGGAGATACTCACGTCTAGAGGCTTCTTTAAGACGATCCAACCAGACTCTGGTTGAATCTCAAAGTACTCCAACCCTTCATTATCGTTTGCCGAGCTCAAGGAATATGTTATAGCGCCGTTATTATCGGCATCTTCGTCCGATGCCGATACTCTCAGAATGTTTGTACCGATACTCGCATCCTGTTTTACGTTTTCTACGTATCGCTGTAAAAAGAAGAGAAATACGTACAAATTTATATTTACAAGTTTATATTACAAAATATTGAAGTTTGATAAAAAATGAAGGTTTTATATTTAACCTGCTTACTTGTGATTTTACTTAACGTAATTTGCTTAGAATTATTATTATGATTTTTTGTTCGTTGATAATCGAATCGATTCGATTTTTTAGTGTAAAACAAACTCTCTTAGCCTAAGTTTCATTTCTGGATAAAATTTATAACGAACGGAGCTTAAACTTTAAGGCTTCTAATTTTTAATTTTTTAAATTTTACAATCAAGACATTTAGAAACAAATATTTTTAAAATCATAATTTTCTAGATGTAGAAATATTCAAATTTTCACACTTACTAACCTCCAAGATTTTGAATTTAGAAATGTAGAAATTTCAATATCATGCATTTTCAAATTCAGACATGTTCAAACTTTCAAGTTTAAAAAGTTGCGAGCTTTTGAATTTAACAATTCAGAAATTTTAAATAAATCCGAAAATTTCCATCCTAATTACTAAAACTAAGAAATTCTCAAATTTACAAATTTGAGAAATCAAAAATACTTAAATTTAATAGTCCAAAAATTGTCAAAACATAGAAATGTCTGAACATACAAATTCTCAGACTCACAAATTTCTGAACATAGAAATTTAGAAACTTTCAAATTTACAAGTTATCCAATTTTTGCTTCATACATTCAATTTCATTCAAACGTGCCATTTCTAACGAATTAATTTATTCCGAATTATTATACGATACACAAAGTTTAAAAGGTATTCTGGTCAATCATTATTTGCATTTCTTTCAAACTGGACCCTTTGTATGCTTCGATGATTATAGGCTGAATTTCAAAGGCCATCGAATGGCATACTACAACCACATGAAAGGCAATTCTCTCCTGTGGTTTTCATTCACCCACTGAAATGATATTCTCTGATATTTTGTTTCACCGGTGAATATTAAGCAATTGTTTGAGTAGAACATGGCGCACATGTAAATTTAACGAAAGGTCAGAGATGCGTTCATTATTAGATACAACTGAATCAATACATGTACCTGATATGTGTATAACATCAAATGTTCTCTCAAATTACATGAAACGTAACAATGAAATGATTATCTACCTTGTACTTACATATCTAACGTATGCTATGATTACGAAAATTGTAATTTGATAGGTTATAGTCCCCCTAAATTCTTTTACCCATTTGAAAGTTGTATTAACCAAATTTTTTATCTTAAATTATATTAAGAATAATAGAGAATGAAATACTTATCTATTAGTTCTATTACATAAAACAGTAAGCACGTTACAAAAAGAATATCAAAATCCATTTAAAAAAATAAACATGAACCTTAAAAGTTTGGACCTTAACAAACACGAAAAGTTGATAGACCATTTGTCCTGAAAATTGAGCATAGATGAGTACTATTTCACATAATTTTAGGACACAAATGCGTATGTATAAATGAAATGAAGATTCAATCCAAAAATAATTTTTCGAATCAAAATTTATCATAAGTCTGAGAAAAAAAATTTTAAATGAAACCAAATGTTTCGAGATAACGAATAGTTTTTGAATCAGAGATATTTTTAGGTACAATAAGATTTTATTTCAAACAGAATTTGATTTCGTTGTTGAGTAACTATTCGATAGTCCGAACTATTCCAATTTTAAATTATTCACTATTTTATTTCCAACAAAAAATTAAAAATTTTGGTGATAGGATAAATAGTAATACAAAATACTAATACAAAATCTTGAAGCCATACGACTTTTGCTTTTAAGAATTCCTCATTGAAAGCATAATTTAAAAGTCAGTTGAGGCGAGCAAAATACGTGAACCACCCTGTATATCCTATAATACGCATGGAGTTGCGACTTATTGTTAAGAGTAGCAATTATGGGGGACAGGCTATCTTATGTCTAATGGGACATTGTAACTGCAGTCGGATAGGCACTTGATCATGCTCAACTTATATAATAATTGTTTCGAAAGTAGATCGTGAGTCCCGCTGGCATTACACAGCAGTCTCGCAATAATTACTCACGTTCGGGGTCCAGAAAACGGGTAATTATCGGAAAACGGCTAATAACGTGCGATCTCATCGCAACTTGTCTATTTATTTTCTCATGATATTCTTCCGGTAGTGACCCTATTTTCATACACACATGTAGCAGTTACACATACACGCATACACAAAACATATCTATAAAAGTGTCAACCGACATATGTCGCTCATATGGCTACAACCTTAATGATTCCCAAGGGAACGCTAAGGAAATAATTTTTATAGTGCTCTAAAATGGACATAGCAATAAAATTCAAATTAATTTGTCCGAAGACGAATTATCAAAGTAAAATTACAGAAATATTTTTATGAACTGTTTTTTTAAATCTCTTTTCTTTATACAACTTTCTTTTTATTGGTACGTTTTCAATCATATGTATGGATTATAGAACTGAACATTACGGATATACAAACATTTGTTTAATATTATAAGCCGTGTGCATAATTTCAGTTGGTATTTTAAAGTAACTGAAAATACCAAATGCGAGAATTTGGTTAACCCAATGTTAAATTTGTGCTAATACCAAACAGAAATTAAGATAATAAATAAAGATAATAATAAAAATAAATTTTAGTGTTTTCCGTAAAATTGTTTACGAATGTTCAAAATAAATTTAAATAAATACAAGTAAATAAATTCGAGTTTAATTTTGAAGTGAGTTTGCTGTTATCCTCTTCTTTTAATTAGACAATCTTTCTCTATCTTTTTTCTATTTTTTTGATCCTGCTTCTTTGATTTCGATCAGTACGGTCAGACAATAAAACCACAGACATGGTTTGTACCATTCTTCAAACTTATTAACTAAATATGGCGACAAAGTAACACGTGTGTTTGTATAAAGTAATATTTGTGGACACATTATAAATCGTATAACACGTCACTCAATAAGTCCCCGGTCTGACACATATATGGCGACACTGGTGACAGACCCACGTTATTTTCGAATAATACTAACCTTCAAACAGTACGTGTCAAAATTTCATGGTATTCTGACCTATAGTTTAGAAGTTACAGTCATTTTAGTACCCCCAGTTTCATAATTTTGAAGACAATGGATAGAAAGGAATTTCGTGTGTTGATTAAACACTGTTTTTTAATCGGAAAAAAATACTGTTGAAGCCAAAAAGTGACTTGATAAGCATTATAGGAACTCTGCACCAGGGAAATCAACTATCATTGACTACTATGCTTAATTGAAACGCAGTCATACAAGCACCGATGATGCTGAACGCTCTGGTTGCCCAAAATCAGCAGTCGTTCCGGAAAACATAAAAAATGTCACAAAATAGTTTTAAAGGACCGTAAACTTAAGTTGTGTGAGATAGCTGATGCCTTGAAGATATCAGAAGGTAGTGTCTTCACAATTTTGCATGAAAATTTGGGCATGTGCAAATTGCTTTCAAAGTGGGTGCCGCGTTTGCTGTTTCACGAAGGCAATGCGCCGTGTCACAAGTCGATGAACACGATGGTTCAGTTGAATGAATTATGTTTTGAATTGTTTCCTCACACACCGTACTCCCCAGATTTGGACTCCAGCGACTACTGGCTCTTTGCAGATATGAAAAAAATGCTCCAGGGAAAGAAATTTGGCTCAAATAAAGAAGTGATTGCGGAAACTGAAGCTTATTTTGGGGGCAAAGACAAATCGTTTAATATAAAGGAAATTGAAAAGTTAGAGGAGCGTTTGAATCAATGTATCACACTGGAAGGAACGTATATTGATGATTAAAGTGGAATTTCTAAAAAAAAATTTGTTTTTCTTAGTTAGACCGGAGACTTATTGAGTGACGTGTTATTACGCGTGTAGATTCGTAGCATTCCTAATTAGTAATTATCTAGTAGGCACTTATCGCAGGTAACAAAACTCCTCCAGGTAAAATAGACAACTCACAAAAGAGTTATTGCCAACGCTTAATTTCATTTATGTAATATTATTTCCTCTCGTATTTTTTTATATCGCTTATAATTTAACTCACCTGTCGGTCGAACAGCGGTGGGTTGTCATTAATATCCGTAATTTCAACAGTGAAGGAGCACACACCTTCCAAAGAAGGCTCACCTTGATCTGTTGCTTTAACAGTAACAGACACGAATTTTCCGTCATCTCCTTCACGATCAAATACCTGGAAAAACATACCAATTAATTATAATACTCTATCCTTGCACTTTTCAATAAAGTAACAGCTTTAAAAACTAGTTTCTAGTATTACATTAATATGTAGCTATTACTATGATTGTGATTAGGAATTACGGTAGACTTTCGTTATATTGCCACCGAGCTGCAGTAATAAAGTTATTCAGTAGTTTTTGAAATTGCAAATATATTGAGTTGGCTAGAAAGTCCTATTTTGATTTTGCTATTTGTCTATTAATGTACAAAGGATATCATTAATGTGCGTGAAAGTTCATGAAAAGATAGCAATATAACAATAATCCACTGCACTTAGAGTTTTATATTAATTTAATTTTAATTTAACGTTAACAATTGCGACAAAATTCACTTTGATACAATGTACATGAATTTGTGTCCAAACTGTACCTTGTTCGTCAGAACTTGGCCAGTTTCTTCGTCAACGGTAAACTTTGTTCCCTTCTGATTAGGTTGTTGCACGATCGAATATTTAACTTGTCCGTTTACACCTTTGTCTTTATCCGTAGCTTGAACCTTGATGACGGTGCTACCGTTCGGTGCTCCTTCTTCAACTTTCGGATTGTACATACTGCAGTCTTTGAACTCCGGTTTGTTGTCGTTAACGTCCGTGATGAAGACCACGACAACCGCTGTACTGGTATGAGTTGTGGTCTCTCCATTAGGGCAACAAGCTCCGTCGTCGACAGCAGTCACGTTCAACTCGTATTTGTCTCGTTCCAGAGATATTTTGTCTCCTTGTAGCCGAATTACACCCGTGATTTCCTCGATTACGAACTGGCCGGATGTAGTATTGCCACCGACGAATCTGAATCGTACGTTGTCACCGTCCTTATCCGAGGCGACCACGGTTGTGACGAGGGTGTTGGATCCAGCATTTTCGTCCACGTTTGGCGTGTATACTTGCTGAGAGAATTTTGGTTCCTCGTCGTTCTTGTTCTTCGTGTATATTCGCACTGTTGCTGTTCCAGTTTTTGGTGGTTCTCCTAGAAAAGACCATAAAAATCAATATAAGAGATGATTGAAATTTTGCCAGATCTGTAAGTAACAAAAGTGTTTGAACGTTTGTTTATTTTGTAATCCCTTGACTGGCTTCTTCTACTATAATGACGATCTACTCGTGACGCACTAGCAGTTAAAGTAAGGTAAATTTTTTTTTATATTTTACGGCTGAATTTTCAATTTTAGTCTAATTGTAATTTACACATAGGATCACCGGAAGCAAAGTAGCCATGAAATTTTAATTAATCGTCTTAACATTGTAGCAGTGAACAGTTATGTCATCTACTGAATAAATCGTATTGTAAAGAGTTAAGTTTTTGAATATTTGTAAGTATAATAAAGCTTTGATTATCCTTATTATCTGAATACTGTCTCATGAATCCAAACTTGTCAGACAGGTTAAAGCTTGTACATAAATGTATGTCCGTAACATATCGTTTGTTAGCGTTACATCTGATTAATACGCAGTCAAAGGGTTAATAAACCACACGTGGAAACATGTCAACGTACCTTTGTCTCTGGCGGTAACAACGAACTCGTAATAAGCGTTATTGTTGTCCGCATCCAGTTGCTTATTGTTGACGATGATTCCGCTGGAGTCCACGCTAAAATGGTCGTCTGATACCAGATATTCTATTTCGGCGTTAGCGCCGGAATCCGCATCTGTTGCTTTCACTTTTAATATACTGGTGCCCAGTGATATGTCCTCGTCCACGTTGTGGGCTTGGTAATCGGGCAACTCGAATTTCGGGGCATTGTCGTTCACGTCAGATACTCTTATGGTCAACTGAAACCACAAGACAATTTTAGCGGAATGCATTTTTGGTGATCATATATGGTTGAGATTCACATGTCGTAGATTTATAAAAGGATTTATCTTTTCAATGTCGATGGGCAAACTAAAATATGATTAAAATTTAAACGATGTTTGTAATTGCCTCAACAAAATTAACTGTTTTATAGAACGTGTGTTCAAATTAGTTTTTATGCACATTAGCTGAATATTTATGTTGTCTTCGCATTCCTTCATTTCCTTTACCTTCTATGTAATTTACAAAATAGATCAAGAGTCGCGTTCAAGAGACTGTAAAATGTATTGCAACAGTGTAGAGTATATAACAAATATATTTTTTCATTTATTATAACTAATATATAAATTTAACCAATTTATTTATCTGAGTTATTTGTAAGATCTAATAAGACTTTATATCTTTTATCAAAGATCCACTACATCTTTGATTTATAAAATTAAAGAGTTAATACGTCAAATTCTTTTTGCATAATTTGCTGTTTACATACTGCAAATTAGTATTTAGAAAATATTGACCATAATTTTCAACCGAGAACTCGGATTAATAAAAACAATTTCGTATATTTATGCAGCGTACTGTACTTGGAAAGTTATAGTCGTTTGCAAAGAGTTTGAAATATAAACCAGCGAAAGAAGTTGTCAAAGGGTTTTTGTAATTAAGTACACATAAAAGTACCTGGACAGTTGTGTTTAAAAATGTAATTAATAATTATTATAAGCTAGTTATCTGTATCAAAGTAGTTATAAATTTTGCAAATATGATTATTGACTAATACTTAATAATAGTCATGTAGCAGAGCAGTATGATTAATCTTTGATTGCTGTTTACGAGATGTATAAAATAAACCTACCTCAACTGAAGTTGAAAAACCACCAGAATCTTCAGTAGCGGTGACTAAGAGGGAATAAATGTGCGGTTGTCGTAGATCCTCAAAATCCAATTCTTTAGCGAGCTTCACAATACCGGAGCTTGGACCAATGTTGAAAGTTCCTGCTGCACCTACTCCTTGCGCTTTCAGTGTATATCGAATTTCACGGTCAGCGAACGACTTTGCTTTCACGGATATGATACTGAAATAAATTGTAAATTACATTTTCTCGTACAAGTGTTCATTCATAATCGTTCATGAAGACATCTGAATGCTTGCATCTTAAGCTGTTAACAAATGAAATATGCACGTCGAAGTTGTATTTCTAAAATAGTACTGTGAATAAAAGAAGACGTAAAACTTGAATCTCATGGGGTAAAATTTGAAAAATACTGAACATAAATAAAATTCTATGAAATCTTACAGGAATACAAAAAGAGGTATTGTATTGGATATACCTAATCTCATCTTTAAATTTGATCCACATTTTTAATTCGTTCACGGTTCGCACATTAATCACTTCTGTTCCCCTTTCAGTTTGATAAAACGACTTCTGTACAAGATATTTTCAGATTCAATGATTTGCAAAATTTGTATACATTGTCTTAATTTTATGCATTGAGGAAATTGGTGATTTCATCATTTGAAAATTTAGGGATTTAGAGATTTAAAATTGAGCAGTTAAAAAAATTGTAAACTTGAGAGGTGCAAGTTAAAAGGAATTTGGAGTGACGATTTGGGGAATAAGAGATTGAGGGACTTTAGAAATTGAAAATTTTTTTAACTGGGAACTTGATAGTTCTTGATTTAATTCTTTAAGTGGGGATTTTGAGATTGCAAACTTAAGAAACTTCGAAATTAAAAAATTTAGGAATATAGAGGTTAGAAATATGAAAATTTGATCACTTGGAAGTGGGGAAGTTTGGGGTTTTGAGAATTTGGGAATTTTGGGAATTTGGAATTTTGGGAATTTGGAATTTTGGGA